AATATATATTGCTTTTAGTCTGTTTGTATGGCCCTTATCACTGTTTGAGTTTACTGACAGTGGCATTGTTAGAGACACTAACAAAAAATTATTACGTAAATCAAAATGTCAAGAACCTTTCAATGTTTGCCTCTTTTAGGTTCAAGTTACAATAGCAAACTGATTCTGAATTTGTAGCGTTTTTCCACACTAACCCATCACAATTTATTTTATGTTTTGCTGTCAGCTGTCAGTAACCCTATCACTACTTGACTTCATGACAGTATTGCTTTGTTTTCTGTTGTTTAATATAGCCTAAATAGTTCAATTCTAAGTTCTCATTTGACATTGTTTGTATATGTGGTTTCTTCAAAATATATCAGAAATCTGAAGAATTTTTCCGCCATGAAACATGCAGTGAGTTCACTACAAATGGAATGGACGTCTTTTTTTTAAATTATTTTTTCTCCCTCATTTCCAGTGTTCTGCTGCACCTGATGTCAGGGTGAGACATAACGAAATGGGGTCAGGCAATGTGTGCTGTCCAGTATGCAGGCAGTTCTTACCCAAGGCTAAGTCTCTTCATGAGCACCTCAACACTCACCCTAAACTACAAGTTATTGAGGCATTAATACAGTTAAAAGATGCTTGCAAAGATTTTGAACCCTCTAGCTCTGTACAACAAAAAGATTACTCGCCCCTGGAAAGTCCAGAAGGGGATGATGAGCGGGTCGAAAATGCTGTTGATATAACTACTCATTCATGCACTCCTCCTGCTCCTCCACATGATTCTGATGAGGAAGGTATTCATGAGACTCGGAATAATACAGAAGGTGCTATAGATCTACATGTTGACTCAGAAAATGAGGAAAAATTGCCCCCTACGTCTGTAAAGTATGCGCTGCAACAATGCGCACCATCCTCTTCAACAAGCAACCTTTCCCCGTATCCTCAGTTTTTGACTGGTTCATCCCCAGTGGCACAATTCATTCATGTTCCAGTAGTTACAAGTGCCGTCCCTAATTCTGCCCCCCCTCCCTCAACTCAGGTATTGTTCTCTCTTGCATTAAGTTTAACACTTTGTTTTGTATTCTTTGACTAGAATCATAAATTATTCCTTTTTTTTCTTTTTTCAGCAGGCACCAGTGGTACTATACAGTCCATTTGTGTGTCCACCCAGCACTTCTGTTGCTTCATCATCATATTCCAGCCCTTTGAATCTTGCTCAGCACTTGCAATTTCTTGTGGGCAACAGTGTGGTGAGGTCACCCTTTAGTATTATTCAAGCCCATCCCTCTACTGAACCTTCCCAAACTGGGCATGTAGCATTAAAATCTGAAGTTTCATCAAGAAATAATTCGCTCACCGTATCGAGCAACATCAATCCAAAGCCAGCAAGCACTGCTGCAGAGAGCCTTTCAGAAGATTGGGTTGCTCCAGGTGACAGTTCAACATCATTAGTGTGCTCTGAATCGCCAGTAACTGATTCAGAGGAAAACAGCCTTCATGAAAACCTTAGGGAAGACGAGGAAAAAGTGTCAGATCAATTAGAAAGTGCACCAGAAACAGCCTCATATGTTTCAGAAGTTTTAAAAGCTCAGGTATCAACTGTAAAACACTGCAATGAGCCCCATGTTCTGATGTCAGACCTTCCAGAGTCAGAGACACTTTCAACAGGACCTGAATTTACTTCATCTCTCGAACATCGGACACCTCAAGAACAAGATTTGCTCACTCCACCAAAGAAGCGGATATGTTTTTCTTTAGGCTCACCCAGTAGGCATTCACCTACTGATCAATTTCAAGAAGTTTCCCCTAGTAGAATTGCCCAGGGGTCACCTCGAGCATTGTCTAACTGGAATAATCTAGGATCTCCAGGGGCCCATTCAACCAGCAGTGTTGAAGGTGTCCTGAGAGTTCGGTCAGATCTCAATGTTTCTCTTGGCCATTCAGTTTCCATTCCTTGTGAGGAAAAAGATGAAAATTGGTAAATAATTCCTAATATTGTCTTCTGTGTACACACTTAAATTGGTGGAAATGTTTCATGTTATAATTTTGATTTTATATTTTTTTTTAATCTAACTCTAGGGCACAAACAAATCTTAAGAAGGAAGCACACCAAAGTAATGCTGCTGTTAAAGACTTGTCTGCTGCATGTGACATTGATCACATGCCAAATGACCTCAGGTAAGTTCTCATCTAAATTTGGTTAAAAATCCAGTTCAGATAATTCCTTTTTTTTCTTTCTTTTGCTTTTGCTTTTTAATGTTTTTATCACAGTACTACCATAATCAAATGTCATATTTTGTCTTTAGATCTAATGCTGAGAAAAACATAACATTTGGAAATGTAATCCTGACATGTTTAAAGAAATCATCTGGAAATAATACCAACAATATTCAGGGTAAAAATGAATTTGAATTCATTATACCAGATGTAGTTACAGAGTCATACAGTGACTTCCAGGATGATAGATCACTAAGTAGGGCAGGGAGCCCCCCATGCGGTTAGTAGGCTGCACTTGTAACTTTGTCGCATTTTTTGTATGCAGAGATTTTGTGCATTAATGGTTTCATTCAATTTCTAATCTAATAGATTCGGCACCCCCATCACCATATCAAAAATCACTTGATTCACCTTCCACCCCTCTGAATATTCAAACCGATGAGACAATGCCCCCAAGAGGGGAACTCTCTGAACAAGAGAGTATTGGGGGAAACAGTAGTTCCATGTGGTCTGTACCGGTATGTAAAGTTTGAATCTATGTCATATAGTAAACTACATATTTCTGTGAATTAATAAGTCAAAAACTGTATGTTTCAATGTTGTCTTTTGTCATCTTATTTCAAGGCATATCACATTACTCGACAACTCCCATCTCCAGTTGTTTCATATGACTTGACAGCAAGAGAAAGCTGGGCAGGTTCTGATGTTTCTGATAGCGAGGGCAATGCGAATGTTGGTGATAACCATCCGGCCAGCTTCAATGCTGCACCCTCCTTTACTAACACACTGCAACCTTTCATCCCCAAAACCTCTTCAAGCAGCAACTTCGTTGGTGAATGTAAGCATCATTCCTGTATTATTCATTGTAGACGAAGTATTTTATCTATCGAGTACTTGAATGCCGTTCTGTTGTAATCTTATCCATATATTTTGTTCCAGCCCCATTTTCATCTCACATTCAGCCACAAATTTATGGTGAGGGCCACAGTACAGGGAAGAAGCCTATCACTGTGGAGTTTGGTGTGTCTAGTAAAGGTTCTAACAGCAAACAATCACAAAGTAAAGACACTAAAGAGAAAAAAGCCCCTTCCAAACCACGTGTCTACAGATGCAAGGAATGCTCTTCAGTGTTCAATACTCTTAAATTACGTCGTTTGCATCCTTGTGAACAGATGAAGAGCACACCTCTTCCTGCTGTGCATATGACATCAGAAATTAAAGGGCTGACTGAAGAGACTAATGCTCCAAGCTCCTCCTCCAAGGAGGGAGACAATTGTGTATCCAAACCTAAGAAAAGAAATCCTCGGAAACCAAAGTCAACTATCAAAAAAGAAGTTATTGTTGAAGATGAAACATCAGATCAAACTGGTTTTGCTAATCAGTATCGAATAAGTAAAACTGAACCTGTTGATGCTTCTGAATCTCAAACAAATCCTCAGGTTGTACCTGAAATTTCCTCCGAGCCTTGCCAGAGTACAGCATTTGAGTCAACTGAAGTTGCTTATGTGGAAGTGCCCTTAGTTAAGAGCGAGGCCGTGTCAGCCGCGTTAGGGTCATTTGGCTGTCAGAAATGTGACCAGGTAGGTGTTAAGGTTAAATTATATAATTTGTCAGCCAATAATTGGTTTTGCTTTTCAGCTTTTCAGTTAATTTAATTGTTTCAGGATTTCAAAACTGCTAAACAATTATCCCAACATATGTCTAGCAAACACAAAGATCAGAAGTATCAGTGCACAACTTGTGGTGAAACATTTGACAAGGAGCGTAATTATTATGATCACCTAATGGTTCACCCAGCTGAATGCCAGCTCTGCGGTAAAACTTTTGTGAGGTACAGTAAATTATGTCTAGTTTCTCCCCGTTCATCGTCCACTTATGGTATCTTTCACTGTGTACTTTTCTAAAAGTTTTTATTTTACTTTTTAGACGTAAATATTTGGCTCTTCACATGAGGTGGCACATGGATGAAAAACCCCACAAGTGTGTTTCATGTAATAAATCATTTGTTACAAAACAGAAACTAGATGAACATATGAATACACATACTGGAAATGCCCCTATCAAATGTGTTGACTGTGATATGACTTTCAAACGATATTCAAATATGATTCAACATCGAAACCGGCATCATTTAAATCTGAAACCTAAAACTAAAGATTATATTTGTCACTGTGGGGAGGTAATGTATTTCTGTAGTAGTGTAATTTCTATTTTACTGAGCTCTACAGCTTTTCTCTCTAAATAAGCTAATACAGGCCAGACATGAGCCACAATGAGCCACCTCAGGCAAGGGGAATTTGTGAAGGCATTTCTGTCCTTACCTCATTCTTTCTTGTCTGTGACGGATTGTGAGCCGAGCCTGTGCCATTTGATTTATAGAGAAAAAGGAAGGGGCTCTGCTAAACAACTAACACATGTTACTCTCTCGTCTAAATTGCAGGTTCTTCATTCAAAGAAAAAATTGGAATGGCACAAAGAGATTCACGAAATGAAGCCGAAATCTTGTCACTATTGTGCTGAGAAATTTGTCCATACGGCAAGTTTGACTCGCCATGTCCGAAGAGCACATGATAGTCGTTATGTTCCTAGCAAAAAAAGAGAAGGAGAAAACATTGAATGCCCTATCTGTCACCTGGTGTTTTTGAAAACTTCCCTTGCAGGCCACATCAAGGTATCTATGGTTATACTTAACCATGACATTCAGTTTTATGTAGAACAAAGAATAAAAGCCTAATCTTTTCCTGTACTTTTTAAATCAATTTCAGATTCATGGTGGTGAACGTCCGTTTCCTTGTCACATTTGTGGAAAGGATTTCACCACTAAATGGAACCTACAGACTCATCGATGGACCCATGCTAGCCGTTCTGCAAGGCAGCATAAGTGCACACTTTGCAAAGCCTCATTTTGCAGAAGACCTGACTATCTCACTCATATGAATTCTCATCGCAATGTAAGACCTTTCACTTGCAACCACTGTGGTTGTCAGTTTGTACGTAAGTATAACTGCTTGCGTCATATGAGGCAACACGAAGAAGGCAAAAATTACACCTGTACCATATGTAACAAAACGTTTCATCGTAATTATTACCTTAAGGACCATATGCGCATACACAATGGAACTCGTCCATTTACTTGTCATATTTGTGGCAAAGCTAGTACTTCTAAATCAAATCACAATAAACATGTCCGAATACACCATGCCCGAGAACCTCACAATACAGAAATCTAAGTGATTTGTGATTAAGTTTGAGCTGTTGAGATTGGTATTTGTAGCCTTCGGCAACATTTTATGTTTGATGCTCTCCAGATTGTGGTCTGCATATTTGGTGAAAAACTGCTAAGGTACCATTTCTTCCAGGTTTTTGAATGTTTCTAAACAAGCCTAGACCTTTTATTCACTCTATCTCAACTTGGAAACTCTCAAAGAAGTACTAGCTACCCCTATTTCTTCTGAACCAGAATCTTGTACTAAATATAGTACAACTTTATACTTCTTATTTTAAAGTGTACTGTATATAGTACAAGATGTCATTCAATAATTTTAATCACTCAGTCTATGCCGTATAGAACTGTGTTAGATAATTGTACTAATTTAGTGTATTAAATATACTAGTGGGCCTATGTAATAATGCCATGGAATATTCCATGTAGCACAGCTACTACAGTAACTGTGTACTTCTTCAAGCTCAGAAAAGTTGTAACTTCAGCAAATGTAACAGATTTTGTGCATTTACAGCAAAGCAACTTGCAAAAGTTTCCCCTTGAATACAAAATTTGAGCCAAACTGTTATGCACTGTGTTTCTTAAAAAAAAAAAAAAATATCCATAAAACGTAAGTAAAAAAACAAGCAAGGTTTGGACTTCATCAAAGTAAAATATGTGGTTGCCATGTTGCCACAGTGTATACTTTTTCGAGCCTTCACAACATGGAAACAATTGTTACCTATGCTTCCCTCTTTTTTTCTTCATTAATTTCCCGTCCCTATTAAATTGAAGGTTATTATATTGATGCAGAATGTGTCACTCTGTATGCTGTGATTTAAGTTTTTATTATTTGTATTGGAACATAATATGAATTGTTTTACTATATTGTAATGTGATTGTTGAATTCTACCACATATTATTGTTCAAATTAGTGTGTTCATTCAGTTTTTATTCATGGTATGTGTATGCTGTTGTGTGTGTTTGTTTCCTTTTTAAATTTTTGCTTGACATGGAAAGTTATTCATTTGAATCTAGATTATCAAGTGTAAACATTTCTGTAATTATGAGTATCCTACTTATGGGCTTCATTAACTACTGTAACAGTAATTAAACACTATGAATGCCTTTATTTTCTAAATGAATGAGCCAGTATCTCTGCTGTGCATTTTGGTTTTATTTTATTCCATAGAACTGTGTTACACTCATTACACATAGTAGTAGTATTGTAGGTTTTGGTCTCTAGCAACATTTTAACTCTAAAGAAAGTCTTTTAAATCTTGCTGGGTCTGCATTACTATTTCAACAAACAATTGTTGGTGTTGTGATTGTGTGTGTGCTGTGTGTGTAGAGCATTATACCTAACTCTGATTTCCCTAAATTACTGTGTTCTTTTATGTTATTGGTTGAAAAGTTTAATTTATTATATTTGTTATATTTACTGATGTTAGTTTAATAATTCCATAGGTATCAGTGTCTATTCTTACTCTTGTCAAGAGTCAGTACAAAATTGTTTTCTTTTTCTTTTTTTCTTTTTTTAAATTGTATGACCCATGGATTGTTTCCTTTCTTCTGTGTGTGTACAAAGTGTGGTTTAAAATTCATTGAAAGACTGCTAGTTTTTAAATGAATTTGTTGGCTTTTTGTTTTGAGTGTGGGCAAGAAAAAGCACCATACATCCTAACAGAGCACGGCTCTTCTCTTGCCATATATGTGAATGGCTTTTGAAAGATTGTGACTCCAAACAAATTTAATTAATTTTCTGAGGCAAAGGTGCTTGCTGTATTCATTTTTACAGTATCATTGAGATCTCTTAAGTGTAAATCTGACTCCAAAGCCAAATGATTTTGTTTTGTTTCACACTTAATGCCTTGCCTTGATAGGCATAGTAAGAACCTCAAGAACATCTCTCTTGTTTTACATCTGTCTGATGATTGTGTCATGACATGACCTGTCCCATCAATTTTTAAAACATTTGGACTATGTTCCTTAGAATGTGAACTTAAAATTAATTTTAAGTAGTTAATTCATTTTACTATTATTAAGAATTCTTTTAAAATAATTGTATTGTATCTCCTTGTCAAAAAAATAAATGTTCTAAATACAGATAAAGTTGCTGCAGTCAAAAAATCATTCACACTTAAAAAAAATTCATAAGACCTTACCAGCAATCTTCCCCCAAAATTACTTGTAATCCACAAGGTATTTTGTAACATTGAAGCTGAGTGTCCTGAGAAAATAGAATTCGATATCACAAATTAAATTCATCTTCATTCTACCTATTGGCTCATGAAAACATGAAATATCGACATACTTGGCAATTATGATGATAAAATCGAATCCTACTGCACACTTGTACTTAGGGGCTTCTAAAGGATCACTTCCGGCTTTTTGAAGTAACTGCAGTTCAACCAGGCTGGTTATCTGTAAGATTAAAAATGGCTTGAGTTGCTGCACTAGCATAACACAAATCCTAAAAATGCCCCAAGAGTAGTTGCTACAGACCTGTGTTAGCAAGTTGACTGATATGTGGGGTTTTTCCTCAATGATTGAATAAAATATGGCAAGAAGCCTTTCCAAATCAAATTGTCGAGGCCCCATGACTAGTGAACTTATCTTAGTTTGAGCATTCTTTTTCAGAACTTTCTTTTTGTTTCTACCACTTAGCTTTACAAAAAGCTTTTTATCTTCCTTTGGAGAATTGTATGAGGCTAAAAATGCAGCAATAATAAGGTATTTGGCATAATACGGGAGCTCAAAGCTCAATGCATATTTGGCTGAGGATGAAAGTGTGCTGTGCTTGTCCATAGATGTCCCACTATCAACTTCTGTGGCAATCTTTTTCCTGACAATAATAATAATTCCATAGATAAAGAAACGTTTACATATTCACAGCAAAGCATAAGCAAAGTAACCATGCATACCCTGTCTCAAATCTCATGTAAATCATTTGAAGTGAAGCTTTAAGATGGGGAGAGATGTGCTTCCATAATTTACCGGAGTCATTAATATCAATTTCTCCCCTTTCAATGGGTTCACAGTACTTGGAAAAATTTTCAGCTGCCTGGAGATAGCAAGGGTAAGTATGATTTTCAATTTAATTCAGACGAGGTTACAATAATTCACCCACCTTGTACCGAAGCTCAGTTATGTCCCTGCAAGATCGCAGAAAAACAGCTACAAAGAGTTGGAGATAATTTGAATGAAAGTCGGCTGGATAATCCTTGGGCTTATCCAATGACAGAATTTTTAGAATATCATCTAGAGGAAGACAATTTGGAAAGGTTTAGGATACTTGATCAGAAAATAAATTGTCAAGATTAATTCTACCTACTTTGAGAGTACTGAGGAAAATATATTTGAATAGGTGGAGGAAGGCCACCAGACGGAGCAAACTTGTCCCACAAAACATCACTGAGAAGAATAACACAAACTTTCTTCAGACAGCTTAGCTCTTGTAGTCTCATTAAGGCTGGTAATAGATTTGGGTTCATATCTCGTAACCTATCGCTTCCTTCCAAAACCTAGAAGGTAACAATAGGCAAGTTTTCTTGATTTGACAAGTCAAAATAAACAAAATATGGTGGTACAAAATAAATGCAAACTTACCACAGCAATTACACTTTCATGAAGGTCATGGTTATCAGCAATAATTTTTAACTGTAAGATGAATTCCATAATATTTTCACATCTTGCACTGGGAGGTACAGTTTCTCCTGGATAATAACAAGTGGTTTATTTTCTACAAAGTTCAGAACAGGTTGCAATTGTGAAAAATCTATACGTACCCACAATTTGTGACAAAATAGATTCAAAAAGTAAACGAGGCATGTACCCTTCAACACAATTTACAGAAGCGTAACGAATATTTAAGGAATCTAAAACTTTCATAAGTGTATATGATTTTCCACTAGACTTGTGACCAGTCAAAAATATAGATTGTGGGACACTTTCTCCAGGCTGTCAAGAATAGAGAACAAATATTCATGAAAACAAGTGAACCACAACTACCCAGATGATATGAAATTTTAAGAAGAGACTATGCATGCACAGCAGTAATAAATTGACAACACTAAAAATGGATTTCTTACGTGGCCCAAGAGTGAAACCAGCTGCATAACTTCTTGATGCCGACATAGTACATCAGGTATATCAGGAGATGACACCATTCTGATATTTCACGAAACTCCACTTGTTGAAATAATTTAATATTCTTGATTGAAAGTATTGAAATATATTGATGCAAAAGTTGTAACAATAATAACTACTAAATTTAAGTGACAGATGGGGAGGTTAGGAATTCGTCCTGCTCGGCACTCGGCCGACAATGAAATTCAATTAGAATTCAAGCAATATGGGAAAAACAAATTAAGGTTAATCTCAAGATATTAGTTCTGAATGATTTTTCCTAGAACAGCAGACTTTGACATAACTGAGACGGGGAAGAACAATAGCAGTGTAGGAAGTTAAGGGTTCAAACTTAACACCCACCCGCCTTGAACCTGTTCCCGCTCATTTTAAAGAGTATATTCATCATATACCATGCATGACATGACCACATGTGACCACTCCATGAAGACAAGGTGTTTTCTTGGAATGAATATTTCTGTTCAAGTATTCTAGAAATTTCTTACGTGAACATTCTTTTTACAAACCAGAATACACAAAACTCCGTCTTCGGAAAATTCATTGAAATCTGCTAAAATGAAAGAATTCCATGGTCAATGTATGATCGTGGTGGGTATGTTATGAATAGACCCTAACCGGAAACAGAGTTTTCGTGCTGTGGTGCTTTCGCCATGACCGGAAGCACTACTTCTCAAAACTAAAGAACATGGCTTCTTCTGATGAGAAATGACTTGACTTCAAAATATAGGCCAATGGATAATCCAGTTCAGGTAAGATGGACGCGTATGTGACGCTCGGATTGTAAAACACACTTGTAGTGCTTTGCCGTGCCGTTCCGCTCTAGCAGAGCTTTAAATGTCGTGTCCTGAGCCCACTTCATTATCCGGCCAATTCCCATTCCTCCCTGAGCTCCATTTCGCTAGCAAACATGCCGCACGTGGGTTCTGTGTTAGCAATTTGCCGCACAATGTAGCGAGATGGTTCTTGATACCAGGGGATAACTACTACTGTTTATTTACGAACTCCTTGTTGACCTTTCGTGATGCCTTCTGGCATTGAGTTGGTTAACCTTAACACCCCTTTCCCCCCCCTCTTGCGGCATAGGTTATGCCGAGTTCGGCGGGCGCCGATATGAGTCTGCTTTATGCAGCCTTGTTCATTTATTAACATCTTTGGTTTGTCGCGTTCTGTTGGAAATATCCCTCCTCACAACTCCACCCATGGTATGCACCGAAGTGATGTCCTGTAGCACATAAGGTTTAGCAACTCATGTAGGCCTATTTCTGTGTCTCGGCCATTGTTTAATGTCAGTATTAGTTTCGGTCGTTTCTCATCCTAGTGGAATTAATGAATTCCAATCATTTCAGCCAAATTTCTTACTCTTAGAGAGCCAGGCAACAATTTTTAATCATGTTTATGGTTTGGAGTCTTGACAGGCTGTGCTCTACTGCACAGTACCTTATTATGCTCAATTTGACTTTCCTTGGCTTCTGCTGTAGTATATTTTTGTTGCTAAAATTCTAATTGTTATTATTCAGGAGTATGAATTCCTGGATCTGTCTGATCTGGGTGAGGATGACTTAAGTCTCCTGCGCTCTGTGCTCGGGACCAACCCCGAGCAGCAGGGCCTCACCTTACCGTGGTATGAAGAAACAGTGCTAGAATCGGCTGATCCACCACTTGAAGAACTAAACCCAGAAGACAACAATGGACCCTGCAATTGGCTGGCCTCTCCAGATCCTTCAGCTGCGCACATTCAGTTTGGTAAGTTGTTTTCATGACCATTTTCTGAGTAACATGTTTACAAGAACATTGGAATTGCCAGGAAATGTTCAAAGTCTAAATGGTCAATCACTAATGAATGCGATATTCATAATATCATTGACTGACCTGATGGGTACTGTCACTGTGTTACATGTTACACATCATGCTTGTAGACTACAGGAACTTTGAGAGACTTCTCTTTTCAATTCTGATAGCTTTGATGTTATGTACCTACTTCTTTTATTGGACTTTACATTGCTCTTGCCTCACCACATTTGAATCACTTCTCAATTCTGAGTTTTAATTGTTTTGAATTACAATGGGTTTATGCAGCTGTGGCCACCCTCCCTCCCCCTCATGCTTTCCTACCCCCTCCATTCTTCAGCGGCGGGTCTCCCACATGTCAATGGTTACAACCAGTACCCGCAGGTAAATGCGTGTCGTGTGCTCTTGCTGTGCTGCTGGTTTTGCTCATGCATTTCACTTAGTTTATATCCAAAAATTATACAATTTACCAAATTGTACTCTGATGCTTCATTTTGACTGGTTTGGTTTTAAATTAACTTTTTAACTCTCACATGTGTTTTGCTAGTACACGCTCAGGGAATTCCCTTACCTGCTGTTGGCAAATATCTAGTAGATAATTGCAATAAAATGTTAACACTTATCACAAAGTTGTAATTTTCTCCTATTTTTGGTATTCAAATTTCATTGGATTTTGCTTCCATTGTAGGTGCTTTCAATTTTATTAATCATCTCACCTTAGTAGTTAATGAGCTCATACAATTGAGAATCTTCTTTTATTATTATTCTTATTATTATAATCATTATAAAAGCAAATAGTTTTCCCTGTGCTCCCAAAAATTTTGTTCTGTAGAGGCTTCTCTGTAGCAAGCAACTGCAGGGAGTATTCTACCCATTCTACCTTAGCCTCTTCAAATTGTCTTCAGTACCTGCACTCCATGATGTACATGAACCTGTGGACTTTCCTTTGTTGCTTTAAGAGGGTGGTCAGCATCAGTTTCATTCTGGGTTCCCCCCTGATAATTAATTCCAGATGCATAATTTCTTCACAGCTAAGATAGTAACGCAGCTGTGAAGTCAAATTGCAATTGGTGCAATGCTAGAACTTTTCACCTTTGCATTGTTTTTTTATGCCATGTTCTCTTCTACATTGCCCTGGACATTTTTTTGTTTATTGATTTTTCAAAATGTACCCTTTGAGCCTGAACTCCTTTGTACATTTTCCCACAAGTTTTCCTCCTCCTCTTCCTCTTGAATTGTTTTTTAAACAAATGCATGGGTGCTGTTTAATTTTTTGCATGATTGAATTTTGAATTTCTCTTCTCTATGGTTGATTAAGGTTAATGTCTAAATTTATAATATTTAAAGCTATACTGGGTTTTATTACATTGTCTTTGAGAATCAAAGTAGTATCTGCTACATGTTACTGTTCTTGACATCTGTACTCCTGCTACATGAAAGCTGGTTCCTTATCTAATCTTTGATATTCATTTACAAGTAAACATATTTGAATCAAACTTCCGAGTTTTATACTTTTTTAAATTGCTATCTTTAGTGTGGGCCACTCTAGAAAATTATTCTGGCTCTAACATAGTTGCTGGCTGAATCACATTTTAATTAAAAAAACAAATGTTACTCATTTTTTAATTATGCACTGTTTATTTTACTCTTGCTTCCTCATCAGTGTTTTGTGACCTCAAATTTTTTATCATGTAATAAGCTGTTAAACATATTGCAGGTGACCCAATCAATGGGGCTCATTTGGATCTTGCATCCGACCTAGACGGAGCCAGTGGTGATGAGTTAAGTCAGACGACACTCCAGGATGTCGGGCAGGTCGTTACTGTCACCTGCGCTCCCTCTATGCTTCAATCATCTGGCATGGATGGAGGGGTGGCCACGACCGCTGCACCGCCCATCACCGCACACGCTGAGATGCTGCACGGCCCTCCTGCCCAGGGCTTGGGGCAGGGTTACCCGCCTCAGCCCGAGGAGCCGCATGCCATATACTCAGCCGTGCCTTACGTCCCGAGCCCGATGTACCAGCACGCGATGCCGCAGTACACCCACGCACCGTACCAGATGATTGACACTTCGGTAAGTTGCTCAAAGAAAAGAAAACCAAGGTGGTGCGGCTAAAGTCTTGTTACTGATTTGTCCTGTTCGCCTGTGCAGCAACAGCGGGATCAGTCCCGCGGCCGGCAGCGCAAGTCCATGAGGGATAAGAACAACATGATGCACGGCCACAACCAGGACATGATGGCGCGAGGACACGGCGGCCACGTCGCTCACTACGAGTACCCGTACCAGTATCAATATCAGTACCAGTACCCGCCGCAGATGCAACCTGTCCACCCCTCCACCGGCTCGCCTATCTACATGTACCACCCGGTGTACGAGTTCCACCCGAGCATGGGGGTGCCGCCCGGTCCCCCGGGGCCCAAGGTGTCCTACCCTCAGGCGCCGCCCGTGTCTGTCCCCGCCCCCGCTCCAGTAGTGCTGCCCCCTCCGCCCATCATTCCCGTACCTCCCGTACCGGTCCCTACCCACCCGCCCCCTGAACACATCCCGGTGCGTATCCAGGCTCCTCCGGTCGTGCCCGCTCCGGCCCCAGCTCCTGCTCTGGCCCCAGTACCAGCTCCAGTGCCGGCCCCAGCTCCGGCGCTTGCACCAGCTCCTGCACCAGCTCCGTCCCTTGCACCAGCTCCTGCATTAGCCCCTGCCCCGGAGGCGAAGAGCCCTACTCACGCTCCCCGTCCTTCAGTTCCAACCACAACGCTGGGCGCAACCTCAAGCGGACCTCCAGCTGGGGCCGTGTTGTCAACCAAGAGATCCGTTGAAGTGAAGAAACCGGAGCCTCCTGCCCCAGTTGTAGAAGATAAAGTGAGCCAGCCTGCAAATCCCGTTCCAGTTCAAGCGCCTCCGCGCCAGCAAGTCGAGCCAAGCCCGGCACCCATCGTTTCTGCACCGTCTGTCACCACACCCATCCCTGCGCCAGTTACTACCCCTACACCACCAGCTCCAACGCCAGCTCTAACCCCTGCCGTGGCCCCAGTTTCATCCCCGGTGTCGGTCCCTTCTCAAGTTCCTGCTATTAATCCGACCACAACCCCATCGCCCGCTGTCTCTCTGCCACCCAAGTCTCCAACCCCCGAGCCACCTGCAGCAACTCCTGTGCCAGTGCAAACCTCTGTAGGCAATGCCACTTCCAAGGTGGAAGAAAATCCTACCCCATCGCAGAACACCAGCTCACCGGTAAGCACTGAAAGCAATTTTGGTATAAATTTTTGATTTGTTAATAAATAATTAAATTATTTTGAAGCTAAATGTATATTCTTTTGTTTCAGTGGGGCAGCAAAGCTTCATTTGCGTCCCTCTTCAATAGCAACAAACAGTCTTCCATCGCTGGTACAGGGTATACCACCTCAAATTCATCTGTGTCCAATTCCTACAGTACTACCAGGAGGCAAGTATTTTCTTACTATTTTAAATCATCCTTAGTCAGTAGACTTCAATATGTAAATGCACAATCAAAAGCCAGCAGGCTGTTTCATTGACAGATCTGCATGATGGTTGGTGCCAAAGTAATTGTCTGTTAAAGCTACTAACAATTCGACTCATGAAATGTTAGAAGTCAAAACTCTCAAACATAATTACTAATTCCTTCATTTGACAATGTTTAGGCTAGCTGGTTTATTAGAATTGTACCTGTGTAGTAACAGAAATTTCAATTACAGTATTTTATCATTTTTAATTTTAATGTCACTTGTTTGCTGTTTAGAAAGGCTTGGTTCAGCTTTTTGTCAGCTCTTGAACATCTAGTCATACTTTACAGTGTGGGTTGGGCACAATCAAAAGCCAGCAGTCAGATTACTTTTATCGTGTCTGCATGATGATTGTTGCTAAATTAAATGTTTGTCAAAGCTA